ATAACTAGTTCTGATGCACCAGGTAGAAAAATGCCTCCATTTGGTGAGGTAAAATTTTTTGGGAGGATCTTCCCTGATGCACTTAAGAATGGTTTGAATGGCCTTCGAACATGAGCATTTTAGGTTTGATGACTATCCAAATACGCAAGTCATGATATGAAGAGCATCTTGGTGGGGATACCCAATACTGCCATTCTCTTGAGTTAGCAGCTCTAAGAAGGGCTGAATGCTGAAGAGTTGCTGGACTGACGTCTGTAGGAGGTCTGGAAGCCAGAATTGTTTGGGCCAATTAGGTGCAATGAGAATGACTCAGACTTTGTCAAGATAAATCTTCTGTAGAATTTGTTGGGGTAGTGAGATTGGATGAAGGTATTCCTCAGATGCCTTGTCCAGGGAAGGAGAAGGGCAATGCCCTTAGACTCTAGATTTTGTGCTGTCTTGGAAGATGAGACACTGAGCTTCTTGTTTACTTGGGAGGCAAACAAATCCCAAGATGGCATTCCCAACTAAGTGAAAATGCTGTCCAGCACCAAACTATGTATCTTCCTTTCATGATTGGTGGCAAAGTGCCTGATGGGATTGTTTTCCAATGAGTTCTGAGCACCACAATGGTAAGTCAAAGATATCATTATGTAGCTCCAGATACACCAGGTATAGAAGTTGATGGCTTTTATACACAATGAGAAGGATCACACCTCTTCTTGTTTGTGTATGTAGAAGATGGTTGTCATGTTTTCCTGACATTAACCAGACATATCTAGATCATATGAGTGGTAGGAATGCACTGCAGACCTATCTGACTGCTCATAGTTCCAAGGGATTGATTTGTATCCTGATCTGTCAAAGTGACCGTGAAGCTTGAATCATATGATTGTCCATGTGGGCTCCGCAGCATAGGAGGTACGTACCTATGATTATGGTCACATAGGAAGTAGCAGGCAGGAAATTGGCTCTAACCCACATGTGTTTCAGATATGTTCACCAGATGAGAGAAGCCCTGATCTTGATAGAGACTGGCAATTATGTGTTCATGCTGTCTGTCTGGCTTATTGACCTAATACTGACCTAAGCCAGGCTTATAGTAAATAGAGATATAGTTTGGCAAATGGTGTGATGTGAGTTCACAAGGCTATGTGGCCCAGCAGAGAGAAACCTGGATTATTTGGGGTTTGTGAGTGATTTGGTTTATCACAGTGTTCATGGCATGAAATCTGTAGGTACACTCCTGCTGCAGTCAACTTTGGGGTTGGCCCTATAAAGTCTATGAATAGTGTGGGAGTCGTAGGAGTCAGAGGAGACTTTTCCATGTTTAGACAGATTCCCAATGACACTGGGATACAGCGTAATGATAAAGTTGCTCTCTGGATGTCCAGTCAGAATCTACCTGTTAGAAGACAATTGCTCAAGTAAGTGAAGATAGTGGAGCCATTTTGTCTCAGTGGTGGCAGTACAGATGAGAGGACCTTCATGAAGATCCTGGATGCTACTGCCAGCCTCAAACAGGGTAACTTGAACTAGTATTTCTGTCCTATCAGAAACCTCAGGAATCTTCTGTGGGGTGGGTGAATGTCCTCATGAAAGTAAGCTTCTTTCATGTCAAGAGCCGTGAATCATGTCTTTTTTCCAAAGAGGGAATTATTGATGGTAGTGTATTCATGCAGAATTTTAATTTATGAATAAAAATAATTAGCTGAAGTAGGTTGAGAATGGGCCCCCATCCTTCCATTTCTATTCTATGAAATACTTGGAGTAGAGCCTTTTTCCTCAATGCTCTCGGGTCTGAGGTGGGAAGGAACAACAAATATTGCACTTGGTGGAGACGTGTACCTTCCCAACACAGTAAAAGTAGAAATTGCTGACTAAGGAGAGAAAATGAGAGTTAGCTTTTAAATCTTGGGATTCTGGGCATAGTCCTGCTCTCAAAAGTAGGAACGGAGAAAACACTAAGCTACATTAATTACGAGAATACCATAAAAATCAAGATAAAACCACTCACAAACTAAGTAGACTTATATTTACAGAGACAATGGCAGAATGAGGATAACTCCAGACACAGAGGATTCTGATTCAGGCCATATAGCTGTAAGTAGGAATTGGAGAGAGATTTGGTCTGCACCTTTCCTTACACTGCTAGTATTGAGCATGATGAAATCTGGGAGCCAGGCATAATGCCTAAATCACTCATATATTGAATAAAGACCAGCACTCAAAGAAGAATTTGTAGTTATTTGCATTAAACTCCTCTCCATGTTCCTGTGTGTACTGCACAGAAGGCCAGGTGTCCCCACAATATGCTGGCCCGCTCAGAGTGACCATCTATAATCCTGACGGCAGCAGATCTTTTAGGGTGGTGACATACAATTAAATGTTTAGTCAAGTAGAACTAAAGAGCACTGTGCAACTTACCTGCTTCGAAACTGGCTGTACTTGGCTCTGAGTTAGAGATAATGGCAAATCTACATATGTATGGGCTTAAACATGGCAAAAGTCAACCAGATTGAAGAAGAATGGCTGACTTATGTACAAACATACAATTGAAACAATGTTCCTCCTTTAATGGGCCAATAAACCATTTTCTCTTTTGGACTGCACCACCACCATTTCTCATTTACACAATAAACTGGAATTGCACATTATATGCCAGCACAAAAATTAATTCCTTGAAAGAAGAAAGCTTCTAAATCACTGGTGTGGCTAGGTTTACATATCATCAAGTACAGTACTGACTACTAAACAGTATCACAAGCCAGTTTGCATGGTAATTCTTAGCCAACCCATTATTTATGATACTTTGCTACTTAACATTCCTAGATAGAATGCTAGCAAATCTATGATCCACCATGACCCACAAGGTGTCATGTCTTGAAATCACCAATATCCATTCTTTGGGTTAATGTTTTAAAATATCTGCTTGCACTAAAGCGATTAAGACATACAGAGTGCATTGGCCTGTGGCTTAATTTAAGCTGATCAATGTCTCTCTGCTGAAGAACCCCCAAAGGTGCCAAACCTGCACTAACCGTGAGGGGTTGCTCTGGAGCATGTTGACATACAACCCGATGAGTACATGTTCATCGGCCAGCCTGTCTGCAACATCGAGGCTGTACTGTAACCTGAAACAGGGTTGGGGGGAAAAAGGGTGTGATCCAGACAGACAGAGAGAAATAAACAGAAAAAGCAGGAGCAGGTAAGACTGTGAAATGGGAATTTAAGAATGAGCAATAAATGTTCTTAGAAAAAAACTAAAGAGCTGAAATTCTTATTTACTCTACTTGTTTAAAAAGATATAATTCAACTTGAATAGGCAACCAATCCTGCAAGATGGGTGGAACCTGCTAGAACATGCAGAACACCTTTAACTCCTGTTTAAGTCAAAGGAAGCTGAAGGAGCTTCAGCACCAGGAATGATCACAATATATGTTAGTCCTATACAGACAATTACTTTAAAGTAGTACAGCTTATGAAGCCAATTTTAATATATCATAGTGTATATATGTATTATAATCATTATATGGGTAATAAAAATAATATATGTCGAATATACACACACACACACACACACACGATTAACGGATTAAAATCAAGAGTTACGTATGTTTGGAAGTGTCAGATCAAGATAATAGGTATATAAACATATTCATTTAAACAAAGCCTACTTAGTTCAGTGGGTTAGTTAGGTTAAAGAAATACTGTAATTTTCTTGTGAAAAAAGTGTATATATTAAAAAAAGGGGGGGCAAGACAGAAGAATTTTTTTCTGTAGTTGTGTTAGTGCAAGCTACCAACATACTCTCTCTTTAACTTACCCTTTGCCTTTCAAGAAAGCTGGAGCAGCCCTAGCCAGCAATTTGTTCTGCTCTACTTCATTATTCTTGTAAGGAGAGCTAGTTAATAAGACAAGAAAACTAAGAGGAGGCTAAACAATGATGACTAAGTTCATTAAAGAATAGAGTCCAGGGAAATTCATTCAAGAGCCTTGAGCTGAAGCAAAATGTAGGCAGGTCCTAACAAGTTTTCAAAGAGAAATCCCACCAAAGGCAAGATTGAAACTTAGAATTATCCCACCATGGAATCCTCGGAATTTTGTTTGGGCAGAAGCTTGTTGAGGTTCTTCCCCCTCTCAACTATAATACCCATAGAAATAACCAAACAAAACAAGCTTCAACCAAAAATAGCTATTTGAAGATTGGAGTAGTTTCAGCTGAAGTTGACACTCACACCCCTGATACTGAATTTTAGCATACCGAGCATTTACAGTAGATGAGGAAAATTCCTCTATAACAGCCAGGGTATTCCTGGGAGGATTCCTGTAGAATTAACTTTTCTCTTTATTTGCCATTATTTGTTGGATCTCAGTGTGGAAGTAGCCAAGGAATATCTATATCTAACTGAATCTGTACTTCTGAGGATAGTTCCAATATACTTTGGAAAATGCACTATGTTCTTTTTCAGCCCTAATATATATTTGTTGTTTTTTCATTATAATCCATTTATCAGTCATGCTTTCTTTTTAGGTTTAAATATTTTAAGGGCCACAATAATTTTCTGATGTTGAAATGTCTGAATGCCTAGGGAAGAAAAGAATATATTGGATAAAAATTGAGAGATTTAAATCTTAGTACATTTCTCATGCTGTTGCATTTTTGGTGAAAGTTTTTTCATTTCTCTCTCCATTTTAATCAGTCACTAATTTTCTTTGGGGTCTGACTAGGCACATGCAGGCATTTTCTGACCAGAGACCAAAGTGCTTGTGTATGCTATTCAGAGGGTCAGCTACTTTTGATACATCTGAGTAGACAACATTCTGACAATCTAGACAGTAAAAATATCAATGGTACAACAAATTAATCATTCACTGAAACTGGTGTTATCACACTCTGCCATCACTCTAGCAGCTCCCATGTGAAGTCATCATTCATCAATAGTGTTTTCAAAGGATTACACTGAGGCTACGTCTACACTATGAGTTTTGCTGCAAGAGCCTATGCAAATGAAGTGCAGATTAGCATTTTCTCATTTGCGCTAGGGGGTTTTGCACAAAAACAAGCAGTGTGGACATTTCCTTTTTGCGCAAGATCCCTAAGGGGTTTTTGCGCAAAAAGGAAATGTCCACATGCTTGTTTTTGCACAAAAACGTCTAGCGCAAAAATGGAATAGAAGAGATTATGCAAATGAAGCTCATTTGCATTGCCTCTTTTGGCAAAATTTGTAGTGTAGATGTAGCCTGAAGGAGTGGCCCCAAGGATTCTAACTTCGCGGCTTTATTACAGTCTGAATGGGCTATAGACCAGTGTTTCTGAAAGTGTTCGGCAAAATCACTTTCAGAAACACATTAACTGGCTGCCTCGGTTTGTTTATTTACTGGCACTGCAGCCATGGAGCCTCGAGGCTCCCATTGGCTCCGTTTCATCCTTTGCAGCCAAGGGGAGCCGCAGTAAGGGGTGGCCCAGCCCCATCACCTATTAAACCATCTTGTTAGTCTTTCAAGTGCTACATTTTTTCCTTTTGTTTTAGCAAGATCAGACTAACATGGCTACCTCTCTATTACTGCTCTAGATCAAGTAATTTTGCACAGCAGCAAAACTGTTTGCTATTTACTTATGTTTTTATACAATGCTCATCAGGGGCATTTATAAAGAACATAACGTAAGAATGGCCCTGCTGAGTCAGACCAATCCATATTGCTGGTTCTTCTGATGACAGATGGTAAACTTCCATATGCCATATGCAGTGTGGGACCGAGCCATACTTGCGCCCCGGGCAGCGGGCTCATGGCGCATCCCCGCCCCGGGCGCGCAGCGCTGGATTGACATGGTAAGGGGCACCGTGCCCTTGGCCGTGCGGCACATGTGTGGCCCTGCCCCCGGGTGTGGAGCGCCCCTTACCACTTCAATCAGGCGCCTCCTATATGTTGGCGCCCTGGGCAGCTGCCCAGCTAGCCCCAAACTTAATCCGGGCCTGGCCATATGGAAGTTATAGGCTTGGGAACATCCAGCATCCCTGACCATTTTGGCTAAAAGCCACTAATGGACATATCCTCCATGAATTTCTCTAATTCTTTTTTAATCATAATTTTGGTCTTCACAACATGCCCTGACAAGAAGTTCCACATGCTGACTGCATGTTGTTTGTTTTATACCAGCTCCCTATTATGCTACTGCATACGGAGTTGATGTTTTCAACTAACCACGATGACTCAAAAAATCTTTTTGAGTGGTTACAGCTAATTTAGATCCCATCATTTTTTTGTGCATTACTTTGCATTTTTCTATCTTGAATTCTATCTGCCATTTTGCTGTACGTTCAACCAGTTTAGTGAGATCTCTTAACTCTTCACAGTTTGCTTTGGACTTAACTCTCTTGAGTAATTTTATTATCATCTGCAAAGTTTTACTGATCATTTGTGAATATGTTTCTCTCTCTCCATCTTGAAAACTGACAATGTATCCCTACCCATTGCTTCCTGTCTTTTAAACAGGCTAGGTCTACACTATGTGTTTTGCCGGAAGAGGCAATGCAAATGAAGTGCAGATTAGCATTTTCTCGTGCTTCATTTACATATCTTCCGACAGTGTAGATGTTTCCTTTTTGTGCAAGATTCTTATGCCTCCGGGGGTTTTGCACAAAAGGAAAAAGGGGTTTTTGCACAAAGAGGAAACATCCCCACTGCATGTTTTTGTGCAAAAATGGATTGGAAGAGATTATACAAATGAAGCATGAGAAAATGCTAATCAGAGCTTCATTTGCATTGCCTCTTCCGGCAAAACACGTAGTGTAGACGTAGCCTTACTGGTTCATAAAAGGACCTTCCCTCTTATCCCATAATTTCATAGTTTGCTTTAAGAGTCTTCAGTGAGGGACCTTGTCAAAGGCTTTCTGAAAGTCCAAAAGTACTTTATCCACTTGATCACCTTGGATCACATGTTTGTTGACCCCCTTCAAAGATTTCTAATAGCTAGGGGAGGCATGATTTCCTGTTATAAAAGCATGATGACTGTTCCCAAACAAATTGTGTTCCTCTATGTGTCTTATAATTGTGTTCTTTATCACAGTGTGGCAGCTGAGACATACATCTGCCACCCACCATGCCACCCCTTCCTCCATCCACGCTGGCATTCCATCCCTTTCTCCAGGTTCCCACCCATGCCCTGCCCCTATTTGGCTTCTGCCCTCACAAGCGATGCTAAAAGCCGGTGAGGTGGGGAGGAATGCAGAGGGTCAGGCTGGGGCTGGGTTGCCTGCTGTTGCTGGTGCCAGTCCCTCCACTAACGTTCCAGGTCACACTGGACCCTGCGTCCCCTGAAGCATGGATCCCAGGGTGGTTGCCCTGGAACCATCCTGTGGACAAGGTGGCTCTGACTATTGTTTCAACAAAAGTTCCAGCTAACCCCTGAAGGCTACTACATTTCACACCCAATTATTGAAGAAAGATGCAGTAAAAAGGACAGAAATGATAGCATACCACTTAACTCAAAAGATGAAGCATTCATCTATTATGGAAAACTAAACTCTCTGTTTTCATCAACTTTTCCACCACCACCTTTGCTAGTCATCATGACAAAAATGCATATGTGCACCAGCACTGCCCTTCAATCCAACTTTTTAAAACTAGATATCTGAGAAAGTTCAAGATGAAATTCTGGTTCTGCTGAACTCAACAAAACTTTGACGTAACTGGAGACAGAATTGCACCCAAAGGGCTTTACCGTTCACTGGCTCAGAGGTAAGAAAAACAGCACCAAAGCAATGACAGAGACCCCCACTTGCCCCTCTGGGACTTCTGGTTTTGAAATGCCCAAGAGCCCTACTGGGACTCTTGTACATTTCAAAAGCAGAACTGCAGCAGAAGCGGCACAAGCAGAGACTGCATCAGTCCCCACTCACACCATTTCCTGCTGTGCCACTACCTCTCTTACCCCCCTTGGAGATGGTGCTGGGGGGAACCAGCTTTTAAGCTAGAGATGGCATTCCCAAACACAAGACAGGTGTCACTTATTTCTGCATGTGCAAAATGGGTAAGTAGAGAGGCTAATTTGCATCTGTAGGGGACACTTTCGTGAGTGGCAAAATGCTAACTTAACCAGCTGACTATGGTCTTTAAAGGACCTTAGATCAGTTCAGCTAGAGAAAGTGCAGATGGACTCCACTTTGCCTTCACCCCTCCTCCCAACCCCAGACTCAGGAAAGGCAACAGGCAGAAGAATAAGTTATGTTATTTTATACTAGCTGAGAGCTCCATCCCCCACAGTAGAATTTTCAGCTGGCCAGTTAGGGCCACATTCTGGCACTTTGTGCCACCTTCACTCAGTGCAAAGTGGACAGAACATAGAGAGAGACCCCTTTGTTTCTAGCCAGCTAGTGCCTGGCCCTGCAAACACCAACACCCACTGAAAATCTGTGAGTGTGAAGTTGTTCATGTATTTAAGTGTTTGCAGAACAAGGTCCAGAGTTAGTTTCCCACCTATGTGAAGCTTTGACACAACAGGAAGAGAAAAAAATTGTAAAAAGAAGAAAATGTAATTGCAAAACCAGAGATAATGGCTATGGGATTTACGGGTAAAAGCAAACAAACTTCTAAATCTTTTTCAAGTCACTAGACTTCAAATGAGTTATGCCCCCCCCCATTACAGAGTCATATGTGTTTTATCAAACAATACAATACACAATGTTGCTATCACTTTCCAGTCATCTTGAAAATATTGGGTTCCGTGCTACATGTGCAAGACAAATATAAGACCTAGATATCTTCTCATGTATACATCTACTGAGAGAGATGAGAAGCTATCTAGAATGTGTATTTATCTGGCACAGATATCTTCATACACACACACCTAATTTGCTTTTATAAATTTAATAGAAAAGAGGCTGCCCAGGGTATGTCAGC